TCCCCCGGGCAGCCGGCCGCGCGCCGGTGGGACGGGACGGAGCGGACCCCTCGAGGCGAGGGGAGTCACCGCCCCGCCCCGGCCCATTCAGCGCCCCGCGGGCGTCCCGTTCCCACCGGCACAAAGCGCGCCGGACCCGCCCTGCTGGCAGGACTCCCCGCCCCCACGGGACCCTCCTCTCCCCAGAGCCAGACCTTTCCAGAAGCCCCAGCTCCGGAGTCCGCTCCCGCCGCCGGCCCCGCCCAACGACGCCCCGCCCCCAGGAAACCACGCCCATCGAGTCACGCCCCGCCCCCGCGGAGTCCCAAGTCGGATCCGTGGCGTGGTCTCCCCACTGCTGGGTGTGCAGCCGTGAGCGCCGGTGGAAGTCGCAGCCCAGCCAAGACCCCTGGCCTGCATTGCGGGACTGGACGCAGCAGGTCCCGTGCTGACCCCTAGGGTCGGTCAGGGAGTCCTGGGAGCGCCCCGCACCTGCGGATGGGTTGGTACAGGAGCAGGGCTGGGCTCGGACTTGCGGGGAGACTCCAACCTCACCTTGGTTTCCTTTCCCCTCGGCTTCCTGCGCAGAGCAGCATGGGTAAGGGGTGAGACCACAGCACCTCTATCCAGTTTGTTATGCAGAATAAATGCAGAACGTACCTATGCCGTGAGTATGTACATACCAAGGAGGTTCTAGTTTTTTCCACGATGCCTGTTGTGTGCACCTTTTTCCTCTTCTCCCTCCAAGCTTTCAGTACTGGGGCTTGAACTCAGGGCCTAGCCCCTGTCCTTTAACTTTTTCGATCAAGCCTGGCAACTCTACCACTTGAGCCACAGCTCTGCTTCTGGCTTTTGGTGATTTAGTTATAGAAAGTCTCATGGGACTTTGCTGCTCAGGATGGCTTTGAACCTCTATCCTCTGATCTCAGCCTCCTGAGTAGCTAGGATGACAGGCGTGAGCCACCGGTCCCCGGCTGGGTGTGCCTCTGGAAACTACAAATGGCCGTTTACATAGGTGCATTTCCTGTGTGGGTTGTTTTTGCCCTGCTTAAAAGCTAAGCCGTCCTGGTCCAATCCCAGGGCGGAGTCATCAAGTTTCCACTGCCCAGCTCCCCCAGCACCAGAGGACAGTTTCCCGCCGCGCCTGAAGAAAACCTCTGCTGCCAGCAGGTGGCGACTTCACCCTTGCAGACCTTTTCAAAAGGGGGCCTCTGAATTCCATCAGGGGTCTGCCACACACCAGGCCTGAGGATGCCTGGCTCCAATCGGCCTGCCTTGCTTGCTCTTCTGAATCAAGCTCACAAGGACTGGCACACCCCGGCCATCCCTGGGACGAGTTATCTATCTACCCACTGCTTCACACTGTTGCTGCTACAAGTCTGTCTGGTTAGTTGGAACACAAAACACAGGCACATTAGCCAGGTTCTAGAGAGGATGGGGTGGCATTTGGGAATAGCTGACCAGCTCTGCGGTTGTTTCCACCAACAGTTTCACGACCTAGGCTCAGAATACCAGATGCAAATCTTAAGGAAAATTTTATTGGGTCCTGTACAGAAGAGAAATGCCCAATTTTCAAAAAACTACAAACAGATCCCTAGTTCTGGGCTAGGTGGTGGTATGTAGACAGAGCTCCCTCCCCAGAACGTCCAGGGTCAAGCTCATAAACACAGCAAACAGGCCTGGAGGTTGCACAAAATCCCCAAACCCCAGGATTGTCTGCTTGAGACCCTCCCTTAAGTTTTATAAAAAATCAGGACCGGAGTGGCCCACTGCAAGTATTGCCATTGGATATGAAATACAAAGTGAAAACCCAATGTGTGTGTGTGTGTGTGTGTGTGTGTTGGGAACAATGGCTAGCTGGTGGGCTCTGCCCCAGAGTTACATGCCAGCCCTTGAAGGAACAGCAGCATTAACAAGGGCATCCATGCCCCTGCTCACCTGTGGCCAGCTCACTCTCCCCACCAATACCCCACAGCCTGGGGCTGTAACCCTGTCTAGCTAGGAGAAAGAGGAAATGGGCCTGGCCGGCAGAGGCAGAACAGACAGCTCTGTGATGACCTTGAAATTAGTTCCAGGTCTGCACATCTGAGGAGCTGCTGAGGGCTATTGCTGCAGCTCAAGGTCATGGGTATTCTAGGACTTTGCCTGAGAAGACCTGGGCACATTTTGCCTGCTGAAACCACACCAGCAAGAGGTCTGCAGGGGGGCAGGGGGGCAGAGACCTCTGCCCGGATGCTTGCCAGATAAGGGGGAGGCAGGAAGTGAGCCGCTGGGAGAGGAGGCCCACCTTGGGCTTGACTCCTTCATGGTGTGGTAGTGCGGTGGACTGGCAGACATCGTGGAATAATGCATATGGGGACGCTAATGGGGGTCAAGCTGGCTGTGGTGCCGACGGTGATGGTGTCAAAGCATTGTGCTTAGTTGGGGCAAAGTGAATTCCCAGAGGGGCAAGGGGTACTGAGTGGGAGGCCTGGGGCCCGTGGGCCTCACTTGGATTTGCCCTCACAAAGGACCCCGAGGGCTGACCTCTCACCCCTGGCGGGACATGGGACCAGGACACTTCTTCCATCAGCCCTGAGAGAGAACATGGTCACTTGCTCATGGCAGAAGGAAACTGAGCGAGACAGGTCACAGCGAAGGAGACCTGTTTGGAGGGCACTCGGGGCTCTGAAGACCCTGTGATTAAAGAGACCTTAAAGGGCAGGTTCTGCGCCCCTGGAGAGTGCAACTGAAGTGGGGGGGGGGAAGGGGAGGGTTGTGGTGGTAAACACCTCGTGCAGCAGGTGGCTCACGTCTGTAATCCCAGCTACTCAGGAAGCTGAGATCTGAGGATCACGGTTCGAAGCCGGCAGGACCACGAAAATCCATGACACTGATGTCCAATTAGCCAACCGAAAGTCGGTAGAGCGCCAGCCTTGGGCGCAGAAAGCTGTGAGAGCGCCCGGATTCGGTCTGTCCGGTGCTGGGTGGGTCCCAGGCTGCACCGGGCGCGGGGACGCGGGGCCCCGGGCGTCTCGGCGCGGCGGCCCGCCGGGTCCGG